AATTATAGGCTCAATGTCCTTTATTTATGGCTAGAAACCAATTATCAGTGAGTACATCCCATGTTCCTCTTTTTGGGTCTGGCTTACCTCACTCAGGATAGTGTTTTCTATTTCCATCCATTTGCATGCAAAATTCAAGAAGTCACTGTTTTTTACTGCTGAGTAGTACTCTAATACGTATATATTCCATACTTTGTTCATCCATTCTTCCATTGAAGGGCATCTAGGTTGTTTCCAGGTTCTGGCTATTACAAACAATGCTGCTATGAACATAGTTGAGTATATACTTTTGTTGTATGATAGGGCATCTCTTGGGTATATTTCCAAGAGTGGTATTTGTTTGTTTTCTTAATCAAATGGGTGAATGTGTCTCACCCAAATTGTAAAGATTTGACCTTAGAAACTCTCTAATAGAGCACCTTAAAAGCTTCTGGCTTTGTTTGTTTTTAATGAAGTTTTAAAATCTTATTATTTAATCTGGTATATTTATTTGAGATTAAGGAATAATGGTAAAAAATGATGCCTGGAGATTAGATTTGGCTCAAAATAGTTCAAGCAAACAAGAAACAGGAAATCAAGTTCCACCTCAAACAAAAGCATCCTAGTGAATAACATGACAATCACAAACAAATTTATATAATATTGTTACTTGGTACCAAATAGATTTTTTAGCACTTATATATTTATAAAATTAATTTTGGCTTTTAAATTTATCTATTTAATGTGCTATAGAACTACAGCATAGACACAGGAGTAGGTGGGTGGGTGGATGGATGGATAGATGGATAGATGGCTTAATTTTTCCAAAAGTGAAATATTTGTATATCTAAGCTGGTCCTTGTTTTGGAATGTGAGTTTGTGGAACTAATGAAATGTTGACTATGCTTATTATGTAAGCCAACCTACTAGCTGTCTTTATGTCGTAGGTCAGGTCATTTGTTTTTAGTTCACTCAGTGTGCACACTGCATTGACAAGCACTTAGATGCATTCATTTGACAAGTGTGGAGATGGAAAAGAGGACTTCACAGCCAGGGGGTCTTCAGTCTATTCCAGTTCAGTTAGTAACAGAGTCAAGGTAAGACTTCAGAGAAGAAAGAAGCGCTCCTTCAGAGGCCTGGGAGAAGAGTGTTCACAGAACAAACCCCAGCAGGTTTGAGAGATGAGTGGATTGGTGTGAGGGAAGGAAAAAGGTTTATAGCTTTTACTTTTTGTATTCTTTTACTTCTGCAAATGGTGTGCCACCTTGGGAGGCAGCTGAGGTTGGCTGAGATTCTCCTTCTCAGATAGACCAGAACTGGCACAGGCGTTCTATTCCAGCTGAGCCCTAGAGGCTGGCAAGCAACATCAACAAGAATGCTCTGGCAGCTGGTTAAAGATGAGCAAAAGAACTGGTGCTCAAGACTGTTGTGAGCCCCCAACCAGACTTGCAGGTGCCATCAAAGTAAAGGAGATTTGTCCTCCATTCCTCATCACCAGCTATGTTTGTCCTTGAGAAACTGGTCATAGCAGTCTTATGTGTGGCAGCTACCTCTATGAGAGAACCGACAGAATGGACTGGCACAGGTGATTGGGGACCTCGGTGCCTGGGACCAGCTGTCCACACTCCCTGGATCTACTCCTCACATGTACCTAACTTAAAGAATAAGTGAAAAGAGTGGGTGAGGGATATAGTACTCTGGCTTCAATACACAGCTTTAACAACTGTGAAGCATTAGCAACATATCCAGTTTAAACTGGTTGTTTTTTACTAACCTCTGGGATTCTTTTAGCTGGGTATTGCCATGTCACTCTTTCACCACAGAAATGTCCCTCTGTCAACAAAGGCCAGTTACCAGCTTCCAAAAAAAGCGTCCAAAAAGACCTCATAGTGACAGGCTTCCTAGAAACAAACAAAAAAAAAAAAAGGAAAAAAGAGACAAAAATATATATTGTTGGCTGTTATCACTTAGTAACTGGGTCTACAGGGTTGTCATATTGAACTTTACAGAGATTGTATTGCTTTTTACTATCTTTCCCTATCTACTTTTAATTTTATCAGTTACTGCTTGTACTGTCATCTCTGGTTCTTAAGAAAAGAATAAAGAGAAGAAACACAATGCAGGAGCTTGTTGAGAGAAGTGGGGAAGGGTAACCCCACAAAGGATGCTGGCGCAATAGATCAACTAGGTGGAAGAAGTAGACTCTTACCTCAGATCTAAAGACCATATTTAGGAGTTAGATGCTTGTAGAAATTTTGGAGATATTTCCTTGGACAAAGAGTGGTTCTCATCACTAAAGAAAAGGCTTGTCCACACAGTCATTCAAACCTCTTCTCTCAGAAACTTGAAGAAAATGAAGATTAACTTGTCAAAAACATCACATCGAATGATGTTCTTTCTAAGTCCTCAGTGTTTGTTTATAAATCAATTTAAAAAATACTAGCTCTCCTTTTAAAAGTCAGGAAAGAAAGGAACAGGCTTAAGAAATAGGACTTATTACCTAAGATATAGTCAAGTAAACATGACAAAAAATATTCATCCTCCATGCTAATCAGAAGGGTGAAAAATAAAAGTGAAATGGAAGTAAGTTTAAACCTGACTACCGTGCTTAGTCCCGGTGAGGCAGCGTGAGCCTCTGCCCTGTCCGTTAAACTTGCACAGACATCCTCACTTACATTCCTCTGCCTGCTGAGTACCTTGGTACTGTGTCTGTAAGCCATAGTTAGCTCTGGAATCTGCATCAGAAATCATATATCCAAATGCAAGTGTGTAACTCCATGATAGAGAGCAGCAAAATGGGCATAAGGAATACACTGAAAATGGTGAGAGGGTGTGATTCCTAAGACGATTTAAGGATGTAGGAAAGTGGTATCAGATAATGTCAGTATAAAAAGAGAAAGCATTATATTTACAGTCATTCTAGTTTCATTAGAAAAGAAACTATAAGTGCTTACATGTCCGATACCCTAAAATGTTAAATAATTTTCAAAACATACTAATTCTTTTATCATATTCTTCATTTTCTCAAATTTACATTCTAAATGTACATGAACTTTAAAGTCTTTTATTCATTCATTCATTCATTCATTTTTGGGGGCTGGGGGAGTGATTCTGGGGATTGGACCTGAATCTCAGGCATACTAGGCAAGCACTACCACTGAGCTGCACCCCTGCCCCAGCCTCATCTTAGCTTCATAATCAGGGAACAGGGCACAAAATGCATATTTTGAAGAGAAAGTCTATTGCATTGAGGTGGAGTGGGCACATCTGACTTGAAGTTGTTTTTGCTGTGACTTTGAGTTCTTAATTTTGGCAGCACCTCCCTCAACTTTGCCATGAGATCTGACTTTCTGTTCCTCTCTTTTCCAGCTAACTGCCTGTATCCATGGCTCAGCAGCCATGCTCTACCCCATGTACTGGCAACACGTGTACATACCGGTGCTGCCCCCACACCTGCTGGATTACTGCTGGTAAGGCTGCCCAGAACCCTGTCTTCCCCTTTCTTCTCCATGAATGACCTGTAAATGTAAAGGCTTTAGCCTGTAACTGCAGCAGGTAACACTAAGTTAAAAAATAGTCTAAATGTTACTGGGTTTGGAGCACTTAACAGCAAAGTGCTTTATGACATGACTTTCTGAAGGGATCAAGAGAGTAGCTGTTATTTTTAGCACTTCTCACTGTAGCACCAAGCACCAAGAAATTGTATATTTTTTCCCACTAAGACACATTGGAAACTGGTAACAGGAACTATTGGGATCTTCAAGATCCCTTGAGTTTCAGCAATACCCTGGCATGTCCCAGCCGACTTGCTTTTAAATATAATTTAGGCCTTCTAAATTTGTTTTCCCTCTTTTTCCTTTTTGCAGACCTTCTTGTACTTCTTTTTATTAATTTCTTTGTTTTATTTTACTGTTTTCTTTTTTGAGACAGGATTTTACTATATATCCTAAGCCAGCCTCAAGCTCACAACAGTCTTCCTGCCTCAGCTTCCTGAGTGCTAGGATTATCAATGTGCACCCAGTCATGTAATCCGCTGATCTCTTCCAGGAATTGACTGTTGGGTATGTGTTAGTGGAGGAAAGGAAAGAAGCCTTGTATCCACACATCATTGGTTTGAGACTCTCCTTCTCTATCTGCAAGTTGAAGTTGTTCAGACAGAATTCTGTTTCTGAGATGACATACCATACAGGGTTGGATGGCTTGTGTGAGGCGCAATACCTGCAAAAGCACCCTCACTGCCTCCAGGAGTGTGCTGAAGATGGTGCTCTTTTTGATATCTTGGATCTGTTTTCCTTATGAGTGATTTCTCTCTGGTGTAGTGTATTAAGAAGCGTTGTCTTGAACAGTTCATATTAGTTGATGTTGATAAGGGCTCATAGTACCCTTGGCATCTGCCAGAAATTGGAGCTTCAAGAGAAAGGCTTTATTTGGGGGACCACAACCCTTCTTAGGATCGGATACTTTGACTTTGAGATTGGCTATTGATTCAGGATGATGGAGGTCAGTCAACCATGATGTTTGGGGTTTTTTTTTTGTTTGTTTATTTGTTTGTTTTTCAATCCTCTCTGAAAAGGCTCACCTTGTGTACTAGAAGCTTAGAAGCTTAGAGGTATTATGGTCACCCAAATTTGGATGTTTTAGGTTCAGCTTCTTCCCAAGAAGCCACATGTCTAAGAGCACAGTGCTGAATGAGCTGCCTCTTTCTCTGTATTTTGATCTTTCTGGTCCTGATGGGTTTTCTCAGTCATACTTTCTCTCAGTTCTGCACTAGATGTATAAATTTTAGAAGAGTAAATTCTAGAAGACTGTAGATTGTTGTCCCCCTCGGTTTTTGTTGTTGTTGTTTTGTTTTGTATTTCAAGACAGGGTTTTTCTGTGTAGCCTTGGCTATCCTGGAACTCACTCTGTAGAGCAGGTTGACACAGGCTGGCCCTGAACTCACAGAGAGATCCACCTGCGTCTGCCTCCTGAGTGCTGGGATTAAAGGATGGACATATTGCTTCCCTTTTTTTGTGGGGATGGAGTGTGTGGGTTGGAGACAAGGTTTCTCTCTTTTGCCTTGGCTGTCCTAGAATGCACTCTATAGACCAACTGACTTGGAAGTGGGATTAAAGGTGTGCTCCATCACCTTCACCCTGGAATTTTTTATTATTATTAAAAATTTCCACCTCCTCCCTGCCTCCCGTTTCCCTCCACCTCCACCCACTCCCCTCTCGCTCCCTCTCCAGTCCAAAGAGCAGTCAGGGTGCTCTGCCCTGTGGGAAGTCCAAGGTCCTCCCCACTCCATTCAGGTCTAGGAAGGTGAGCATCCAAACAGGCTAGGCTCCCACAAAGCCAGTACATGCATAGGATCAAAACCCCATGCCATTGTCCTTGGCTTCTCAGCAGCCCTCATTGTCCACCATGTTCAGAGAGTCCGGTTTTATCCCATCCCTTTTCAGTCCCAGTCCAGCTGGCCTTGGTGAGCTCCCATTAGATCGGCCCCACCGTCACAGTGGGTGGGCGCACCCCTCGTGGTCCTGACTTCCTTGCTCATGTTTTCCCTCCTTCTGCTCCTCATTTGGACCTTGGGAGCTCAGTCCATTGCTCCAATGTGGGTCTCTGTCTCTATCTCCATCCATCACCAGATGAAGGTTCTATGGTGATATGCAAGATATTCATCAGTATGGCTATAGGATCGGGCCATTTCAGGCTCCCTCTCCTCAGCTGCCCAAGGAACTAGCTGGGGGCATCTCCCTGGACCCCCGGGAACCCTTCTAGAGTCAAGTCTCTTGCCAACCCTAAAATGACTCCCTTAATTAAGATATATACTTTCCTGCTCCCATATCCACCCTTCCTTTATCCCAACTTTCCCATTCCCCCAAGCTCTCCCCATTCTCACTTGTCTCTCCCCATCTCCCCTTTCCCCCATTCCAACCCACCCCCAAGTTCCCAATTTTTGCCAGGCAATCTTGTCTACTTCCAATATCCAGGAGGATAACTATATGTTTTTCTTTGGGTTCACCTTATTTAGCTTCTCTAGGATCACCAATTATAGGCTCAATGCCCTTTATTTATGGCTAGAAACCAATTATCAGTGAGTACATCCCATGTTCCTCTTTTTGGGTCTGGCTTACCTCACTCAGGATAGTGTTTCATATTTCCATGCATTTGCATCCAAAATTCAACATGTCATTGTTTTTTACCGCCGAGTAGTACTCTAATATGTATGTATTCCACACTTTCTTCATCCATTCTTCCATTGAAGGGCATCTAGGTTGTTTCCAGGTCCTGGCTATTACAAATAATACTGCTATGAACATAGTTGAACAAATGCTTTTGTCATATGATAGGGCATCTTTTGGGTATATTCCCAAGAATGGTATTGCTGGATCTTCGGGTAGGTTGATCCCAATTTTCCTGAGAAACCACCACACTGATTTCCAAAGGGGTTGCACAAGTTTACATTCCCACCAGCAATGGATGAGTGTACCCCTTTCTCCACAACCTCTCCAGCAAAGGCTATCATTGGTGTTTTTTATTTTAGCCATTCTGACAGATGTAAGAAGGTATCTCAAAATTGTTTTGATTTGCATTTCCCTGATCGCTAAGGAGGTTGAGCATGACCTTAAGTGTCTTTTGGCCATTTGAATTTCTTCTGTTGAGAATTCTCTGTTCAGTTCAGTGCCCCATTTTTTAATTGGGTTAATTAGCATTTTTAGACTTTAGACTTTAAAGTCTAGTTTCTTGAGTTCTTTATATATTTTAGAGATCAGACCTTGGTCTGTTGCAGGGTTGGTGAAGATCTTCTCCCAGTCAGTAGGTTGCCTTTTTGTCTTAGTGACAGTGTTCTTTGCTTTACAGAAGCTTCTCAGTTTCAGGAGGTCCCATTTATTCAATGTTGCCCTTAATGTCTGTGCTTCTGGGGTAATACATAGGAAGTGGTCTCCTGTGCCCATGTGTTGTAGAGTACTTCCCACTTTCTCTGGAATCTTTTAAAAAATATTATTTATTTATTATTTGTGTATGAATATTTGGCTGAATATATGCTAGTGCCCAGGCCAGAAAAAGAGGGTGTTGGATCCTCTGAGACTGGAGTTACAGATAGTTGTGAGCCACCATGTAGGTACTGAGTAATTAAGCACAGGTCCTTTGCAAGGGCAGCCAGTGCTCTACTGCTGAACCATCTCTCCAGCACCTTGTAGAGTATTTCTTGGTTGATCAGGAACTGTGCCCACATTGTGCTGCCATGTCTTTTTACACTTTGCTGTATTCTGGAAGTTGTTCCTTGTTAAAAATGCCTTCCAGATACTCTGGGTCTAGATTTCATTTTGATCCCTTGGAGAACAGGTAGGAGGGTTTGTATGTTTTTAAATAGAGAAGAATTGAGGTATGAAGCCTTTGTAATAGATTTACCTTATTTGGGGCCCCTGCTTTCTTCAGGAGTGTTTTTAGACCCCAACACTCCTTCAGCATCCTCTTCTGTCCAAATTCTGTGTCTCCTGTCCCCTGGGAAACCATGAGTGTTGTGCTCTCTCCATCAGCCACTACTCCTGCCATTCCCAGGTCAAGGTGAAGGTCACAGGCTCATGTCCCTACAGCTGTGTCATGGTGCCTCTGTGTTCTTTGGTTCCTTACACAGCATCTAGGAACCTGTCTCACTGCCCTGTCACTGCTGTCTGCTTATCTACAAGTCTGTGTCCCATCTATTTAGACATTCTCAACTTCGTTCTACCCCTATCATTGCCATTTCTGTGCCTTTGGAAGCCACACTGTAGCCCCTCACACTCACACTGGTATTGTTTGTCATCTGTACAGAGGTGACCTTCCTCCCTCAAAAAAAAAAAAAAAAAAAAAAAAACCCTTTGATTAGCATAGAGAGGGTTGAGCTAAGATGACTCACCTAGTCCTTATCTCAAGTCCATCACTGCCTGGCTACACAGCTTAGAGAATGTAGATTTGCTTCTAGGAATCTCTGCCCTTATCTGAAGAGGGCCTCCTCCAATCCTTCTTAAACACAGGGTGACTCTTGACACTATGCAACCATTTGAAAGCCCTTTCATTGCCCCTTTCTCCTTTTTACTTTTCATTCTCTCTGTTTTGATTACAGCTTCCTCCTAACCTCATTGTAGCTTCCTCTCTATCCTTCCTGTTTATTAACCCTGCCAAATTTGCTTGCCTTCCTGCTTGCACTGGACCTTCATGGAGTTCTCCATGTGATGAATAAATATGCAATATTGCAGACACAACACCTAGTCAAGGCCTAGATGTCATTCAGTCTCAATCAAGAGGCACTTAGATGGTGGGGTGTTGAAGATAAATATGAGAAGAGGTACCCCAGCATCTTCCTATCTGCTCCTTCTCTAACAGATACTTCTGGGGAATACTAAGGGCCATTGCATGTGGGACCTGCTAGAAAATGGTGCAGCCCATTCTCAGCTCTCCCTACTCCTTTACTCTCAGCTCTTTCTACACTCATCATGGTCAGGCC